GTCATGGCAATTGTCAGAGGCAGTGCAACTCTGGTGAATTTAATGACCAAACCCACATCTAATAATGCCCATGCCAACGTCTACTGTACACACTGTTAAATACAAAGGTCTGGATCTACAGAGGGACTTAGGCACTACACAGCTGAGCACTGCAACGCCTATGCTTTACGTGCTATGAAAATCACTAGAATCCACAAATTCTGAGTTGGTGCCTAGGCTACAGGGCTGAAATGTATGAAGGGTCTGGAGCTCGTGTCTATGAGAGTCTGACTAGGTGGGAATCCTCGGACTCATGAAAAAAATCAAAGAGTTGGCAACACTGCTAGCTCCCAGGCAGCACCGTCCCCCTCAGCCAGGTGCTGCTTCCACTTCAGAGGTGTCCAGAGAATTAGTGGGGAGCAAAAGAAAGAGAAAAGGATGCCCATCAAGGGCCTCAGAGTCACCACTTCCAGCCTGAAGGAAGAGGAATTCTAGTAGAGCAACTAATGTGAACCATCAATCAAATCAAATCAAATCACATCACATTTTGGGGGGGAACGACAGCTCAGTGGTTTGCGCATTGGCCTGCTAAACCCAGCGTTGTGAGCTCAATCCTTGAGGGGGCCATTTAGGGATCTGGGGCAAAAATTGGGGATTGGTCCTGCTTTGAGCAGGGGGTTGGACTAGATGACCTCCTAAGGTCCCTTCCAACCCTGACTTTCTATGATTCATCACTGCTGCTCCCATAAGCTGCAGAATGGAGAAGTGCACTAGCCATCACCAGTGGCATGGAGGAGGAAAAGGAGCTTGCTCAAAGTAGTCACCTAAGCAAGCTGTTAATGTTGCCCAAGAGAAGACCATCCTCCACTAACCCTATGAGGTTTTTTTGAAGGTATAAGCAGCAACTGGCTCAGGTCACTTTTCTGGGAGTTCTGGGTCTCCCCTCCTTGGAGCTGATGGCATCTGGGCTTTTTGCAGGGCCTATTTATACTTCTCACCCCTTGTTTTTCATAGGATTGGCAGCACTGCTGGTTTAAGCTTCTACACTGATATTCCCGTGCCCCTCTGCTCATTCTGATGTGTGAAATCACATGTCACTGGACAATCCTAACATATGCAGCCCTAAGAACAACTGTGCAGGAAAAGCCAATGCAATCTGGGCTATATCATGCCATACAGCAAGGAGGAGCTATTTCTTCTCTCTATCGGATTAGCGAGACCAGGCCTAGATTACTACAGTGCATGCACCACACCACGTGTCAGTAACATGAAAATATTGACAAACTGGAAGAAAGTCCAAATAGTAAAGAACATTAGGAAAGGCTTTATTTAGGAGGAAAAAAATTGAAATAATGATTAAAGTAGAACTGACCACAACCTTCTTGTCTTTGAGGGGTAAGAACACTGAGGAGGGAAAACAATTGTATAGGATGCAACAATTGGTATAACGATGTTGGGATGAAATTGAGCAAAGGAACATTTTTCTCAAAGATCAAGAAATATTTCTTCCCAGTGAAGTCTATTAGAATGGAACAGTTTCCCAAGAGAAATGATAGTAACACTATCACTTGAGTAATTTACAACTAGACTGGACATAGCACTTGAGAATATACTCTAGATAGTAATTTTGCTTTGGAAAGGTGAATTGAAAAGATGACCTGAAAAGTTTTCTTTTTAAGCTTTGGACCAGAGAACAGGCAATCCATTCCTCAGATTGCCAGGGGACTCTGCTGCAGGCAAGCAGAACACCTGTAGAAAAATTAAGGAAAGTGCCATCATCAATCATTAGGGCATATAGGATCAGATGGGAGGATCCCAAATGTGAAATACTGGAATTCTAAGGTGGCTGTGTGTTCTAAACCCTAAAAACATTTGCAATGTAATCAAACTGAGTAGGGACAGCTTCTGCTGTGCTCGTTGTTGATACAAGATAGAGTCAGTAGAAGCTGAGATTATTGCCAATCAAGTTTTACTACCTCCTTACCTTATATTGCAATCATTGTTTGCTGATACAGTTATATTGTTCTTTTTACAATAAGACAAACACCGTTTACTGTTCTTGCTATATCAACAATTCTCATTTTACAAATGTGTATTAATTATAGGACACAAAAGGGGGTGTATTTTATTTTTCTGTTTGATTTTACAAGTAGAAAGTTTGTGTAAGGGGGTTAAAAAAGCTTACATACATCTCTAAAGTAAAGGATTTCACATGCATCTTCAGTGCAAGTCTGGAATGCTGCTTCATTCAAAGTCTAGAGTAATTTTTAAACAGTATTAATATTTAATATGAGCTAGGCGTTTCTGATGGCAACAGGGACTCAGATAGTTCATTTGATGATGTGGTGGTCCCTTCTCACTGGCCATTTAAAGGCCTTTTGTTTGCACGATGGCTGGCAGTCAGCATGAAAATTTGAGCTGGAGATCTGTTGATTCTCCAGGGGGACACTGCCATCAGCAAACAAGCCAGGTGAGGTTGCAAGCAGGTGCCAAGTGCAGACACTTTAAAATATCAGGCTATCTTGGATTTAATCCTAATTTTGAGATCTGAATTCAGAGGAAACTGTAGAACGAGGTGGTTTTTAAAGATTTTACTCCAAAAACAAAACTGTTAAAGGGATACCACCTAAAATTACAAGTCTACATAAAAAGTTACTATTACCACTGCAGATAGTACCTAAGTTTACTCTAGTGGAAAACTAATGGAGGAAAACATGATTTTTTCCACCATTTTCCAGTTGACTTTCTGTATGCCAGTTTAACTGTTCCCTTGTGGTCAGTCAGACACTGAACACATTTACACGCATGCTTACCTCTAAGCATGAGAGTAGTCCCACTGACTTCAATTTCATTATGTAAATTGCTATCTCCCTAGTAAAACCAGTCTCCCTTACTGCCTCTAGAATAAGATGGGATGGAGGGATTCAAAAATCAACTGTGCATAAATTAGTCATCATTCTCTTCAAAAGCCCTCCATTTACTAAAGCAAAACAAGTGCAATCTTGGGAATCCTATTATCAGCATCCTTTACTTCTGCGCTTTCCATTTCCCTTCAGTGAATACAATCCAATAGTTACCATGAATCCGGCTATTAGTAGTGGCTGTACATATGCTTTGTATTAATAGAATCAATTGCCCCAGGGAATTAGCCATCTATATTCATGAACTAAATGAAATTGTATCCAAAGAGCAGATGATGACAGCTTTGTAAGAGATCTTTACTTTAGCATTGCTGTTGAAGGATATACCCATGGGATAGCTAACGCTTCCCCCATTCACACTTTCCCAATATTTCATTGCTTTTCATTACAATTGATATTTTAACTAAACACCACTAGCTCATAAGTGCTTCATCGCAGCTCAGGAGACCCCAAGGGAATTCAGTTTAGAATCCTATGTGATGGTCCACTGATGAGGAAAAGAGCAGGGAACAGACTCTAACAAGCAGCCTTTGGGGATGTGCTGGGTGCACTCTAATGTTCTATACCAGGGGTCGGCAACCTATGGCATGCATGCCAAAGACGGCACGCGAGCTGATTTTTAATGGCACCCTGCTGCCTGCCGAGTCCCACTCAGCCCGCTGCCGAACCCAGGCCAGGACCCCGGCAGGCAGCAGCGTGCCATTAAAAATCCTGCCTGCCCCGGCCCGCTCTTCTCCGCTCCCGCCGCCCCACGCCGGCTGCTGCTGCAGAGCAGGCAAGCTCCCCCCGCCCCCGCCTCTTCCCCCAGCATGCTGGGTTCCTGCCCCTCCTCCTCTCCCGGCCGCCGATCAGCTGATGGCGCTTCCGAGGGAGGAGGAGAAGCGGAGCCACAGCCCACTCGCTGCTCTGGAGAGGAGGTGGAAAGAGGTGGGGAAGGGGGTTGGAATCAGAGCATATCCCCTCCAGCCCCCTGCTGGGAGCCGCTCTGGGAAGGGGGCTGGGAGGAACCCCATGACTCCCAGCCCTCTGCCTGGACCCCTGCACCCCTCCACACACACCCCAGCTCCCTGCCCTGACCCCTGCACCCTCCCACACACACCCCAGCCTCCTGCCCTGACCCCTGCACCCCCCCCCACGACCCCAGCCCTCTGCCCTGACCCCTGCACCCCCCCACGACCCCAACCCTCTGCCCTGACCCCTGCACACCCAGCCCTCTGCACTGACCCCTGCACCCCTCCACACCCCAGCCCTCTGCCCTGATCTCTGCACCTCCCCACGACCCCAGCCCTGACTTCAGTACCCCCACCCATACCCAGCTGCTCCACATCCCATGCCCTGACTCCTGCACCCCCCACATTTCCACCCCCATCCTGAGACCAAATGGGAGATCCTGCACCCTCCCCCACCCCCGCCTGCATCCCTCGCACCAAATGGGAGCTGCCCAGGTAAGCACTCCACACCCAAACCCCAACCCTGAGCCCCCTCCCTCATTCTAGCTCTAGTGATAATCACTACACCCCACCCCACCCCCGCTCTCCTGCTGGTAATAGCTCACCTTAAGTGATCACTCTGGTTACAGTGTGTATGGTAACACCCATTGTTTCATGTTCTCTATGTATATAAATCTCCCCACTGTATTTTCCACTGAATGCATCTGATGAAGTGAACTGTAGCTCACGAAAGCTTATGCTCAAATAAACTGGTTGGTCTCTAAGGTGCCACAAGTACTCCTTTTCTTTTTGAGAATACAGACTAACACGGCTGCCACTTCTGAAAGGTTGCCGACCCCTGTTCTATACTATCTCCAGGCCACCCTGTTCACGTGTGACTGTAGCATCAGCTTTGAATGCCACTCACTCACTTCTGGAACGAACAGTGGGATATCTACTGCAGAGACGCATTTAAATACCAGACATATAATGCACGAAGAGGGAGCAAAATAGTGATTAACTATACAAAATTGGCCTGAGAGGAAGTGAGCAGTGCTTAGCGGGTAATGTACAGTATGAACAGGCTCTTAAATTAAACAGCCTCTGCTTTTTTCATGATTTATTTCCTTTTACCTTCTGTTTTAATCTTTGCATTATTTTCTTCTTCCAGTGAAACAATAAGACTGAGTGCAGTATGCTACCAAGCTCCTACTGGGAAAGAAGTGCAGGAGATCAACTCCTGCTTACTCTGAGCACCGAATTCATTGCAAAGATTCACACAGTGATGGGGGTGGAGGCTGTAGAGCAATAAAATGTATTTCCATTTTTTGGAAACACCGACACTGCCCTTCAGCTGAAGCCTGCTCCATGCTGAGCAGCCTCAGTTCTCCCTGACTTCAGTGTGAGTTGAGAGCACTTAGCACCACACAGGATCACATCTTCTATGTCTAACATACACGTATGACCCCATTTCATTGACGGTTACTATCACCTTTTGCCCCCTTTGAATCAGCAGTGGGACTTCTCTGGCACTGATTTGAATAAAAACCACAGCCTTGTTCCTCAGATGTTCTTGTCAACTGCTGGAAATGGCCCACCTTGATTATCACTACAAAAGATCCCCCCCCGCCCCCGCTCTCCTGCTGGTAACAACTCACCTTAAGTGATCACTCTCGTTACAGTGTGTATGGTAACACCCATTGTTTCATGTTCTCTGTGTATATAAATCTCCCCACTGTATTTTCCACTGAATGCATCCGATGAAGTGAGCTGTAGCTCACGAAAGCTTATGCTCAAATAAATTTGTTAGTCTCTAAGGTGCCACAAGTCCTCCTTTTCTTTTTGGTTGATCTAGGGAGTTACCTTATCCATGTTCTGCCTCCTGAGATGAGATACACTTTTTCTTTGAGTTTGCCAGCCAGTTACTCCAGGTAAGTGCCTTCACCTCAAGGTATTTTATTGTTTTGTATATGAAACTCATAAATTGATTATGAGAAATACTATGTGCATCAAGATAGGCACTGATAACGCACCCATGAATTTGGCTGACTACACACAAACAGCATGATGCCCATTTACACTAAGCAGTCCAACATTGCTCTTGTCTCAAACTGGGTGCAAATATAATCCCATTCTATGGCACCTTTTCATTTCAGAGTGCTGTAAAGTGGCTTTAATGTTAATGAGAACCAGGCTCAAAGTCTCAAGAACAGACCTGTGAACGCAGAAAATATCCTCAATCGGGTTGCTATTCCTTTTTTTAATAGACACTGGGAACATTAAAAACTAAAACCAAAATATTTAAATTAGTTAAGCAAGAACAGTCATTCTAAAAGATGTTAATTAACTGGAGGTGTAGAAAGTGAAGGTGGTCAGTGCTGCAACTAGAGAATAATGATATTGCTCTGTATTATTCAAGGCACAAGATTTTGCAGATTTCCATGTATTGTAGATGAGAACACTGTCTTTGCACTAAACATCTTATTACATTATGGCCATCCTCTGAAATCAACCATTACCTGCACCTTTGCTGCCTACTTTCACATGATAGCATGGCCCAGATTCTATTGGATGGAGCTAGCCATAGTGTATGCAAAGCTTATGTCAATTGATCAATGGGATTGACTTTGCTCTCAGTATCAACTGTTCAATGGCTCTCTGCACTCAGTCCTTACTCAGTCCCTGCAGGCAGCCAGGAGCTGTCTGTTGCTCCCCTGGTCCCTGCCAGCAATTGATCTGTCTGTGGTCCTCTGCTCCTTCAGCCAGCCAGCCAGGAACACAGTTCTCACTCCTCCAGCTCCAGGCACCAGCTGACTGACTCTGGCCCTGAAGCTCCTTTATGTTGAGTCTGCTGGGCCCAGATTGGCTGCTCCCTGCAGCTCCCCCTCATTGGCTGCTTGCCCACAATCACTCTAGGCTGCTTGGAGGACTTCTCTTCTGCTCCTCTCTGGGATGGGGTAGGGCAGGACCTTGAGGCCTCCAGCAGAAGACCTCTTGGCCCAGTTCACCCTGTCACACTAATAAATAAATAAAGACTGTAAAATTAACTCATTATCCTCAGTTCCTAGGTTAGAAGTGAAAATAAATGTTGGAGAATTTATAAATCTATCTAAATCTGTCTAGGGATATAGATTGCACTTACCACCATGTTATCTGGGTGCCTGATGCTGATAAAAAAATCAAGTGAGTGCTTAAGTCAACAACGTGTGCATGGGGCCTGCACCAGAGATTGGATGTTATCTGGCAGGCACAATAGTGTTTGAAAAACAATGTTGTGAGAGCCATAATTTCAAGAAGTTGAGGCTTCCCTTATGTGATGCGGTTGGTGTATGGACCCTACAAAGGAATTGACACTAAAGAATTAAAAAAGGGAACAACCACCATCCCAGCTGCAGCCTCTAGGCAGTCTGACCACAGCAGGCACAATAAAAGCTGCAGTCCGGCCACAACAGGGTAGCTGTGAGAGAGACAGAGAGTCACAGTGAAGGGAGCTCCACAGGGTCAGGCTGGAGGACGCTGCCCAGAGAAACCAATTGTGGGCCAGAAGGGATCAGAGAAGATTACCAGGCAGAAGGTACCTGCAAAGCCCCAAGGTAGGAAGCAGCCCAGGGAAGCAGTAGGAGATTTAAACAAACAAGTGCCTGAGTTATTTCTGCCCAGTTGGAGAAAGAAGGGAAGAAACCTGAATAAGGGGCAGCACCAGAAAAAGGGTTAGAAAAGTTGCTGAGACAAAGGCCCAAACTCCAAAGATTACTGAGTACAGGTCCACTAACGGGGCCAGTGGAACTTGGGTGGGTCAGACTCCTTTCACTCCTGAAAAGGGAGAGAGACAAGTAACTCAGCCAGAGTTATAGATGAAAATTCAGGAATATACGTTCCATCTCTGTATCAACTAAGGGAAACTGAGGCAGGGACAAATGCAGTTTTGCAGCAGATTGCCAGGGTTGTTTCAGCACTGAGTTCCTTCTGTTACACCTTGTTATACAGGCATCCATTGCCAGAGTCTGATCTCAGTTAAACCAGTGTATGTCCAAAATAACGGCACTGAAGTCACCACCAAGATAACAGAGTTACAGGGGTCTCGACACTGTAAAGTGAAATTAAAATCTGGCCTTCAGACTTCAAAGGACAAATCCTTCTCCTTCTATCAACATTAACCTTTTTAACTCTCAGGATGACTCCTCAGGTTTTGTCTTTTTCTGTGTCAGCAGAAAATCTGAAATCAAAGTAATATTAATCAGACCGTTTGATAGGGACATACAGTACACCCTCGCTATAACAAACCTATCGGGATCCAAGCCTTTTATTCATTATAGCTGGGGGTTGTTATAGGGAAAGAACAATCAAACTGCTGGAGTAAGTTAACAAAGTTGCCTTGGATAAAGGCCTTAGCTAAATTAATTGATTAATAATAACAACAATGATTAAGGCTACAAGTTGGCCAGGGAGGGAGAATTTAGGTAACCTTCATGACTTCAGCCCCACGCAGAGGGGCTTTGCGCTGTCAGCCCCGCAGCAGCACCACCACTGGGCCTCAGCCTTCAGCTTCAGCCCTAGGAGGCAGGAGGAAGGGTGTGGACCCACTCGGAGTTTCTGCCCTTGGGCTAAACCCAAGCTGGATAAAAATTTGTGCACACATGTGCAACATCCTTTTTTCTTTTCTTTTCTTTTCTTTTCTTTTCTTTTCTTTTCTTTTCTTTTCTTTTCTTTTCTTTTCTTACAGTACTATACTCTACTATAGTTGGGATCAGGGATCCAGTTTGCTATCACTGAAGATCTGTAATAATGACAGGCATCATTGTGAGGGTGTACTGTACATATAGCTTGTTGCAAGTAGCCTAATATGATACCACTTGCTTGAAGACCACTAAATCCTTACCGATTTATAAACATTAATATTCACTCAAAGAGACTCCAAGATGCCTCGGTTAAAGTAAAGTTCACGGCCAGCAAATCACGTATGAAAAACAAACTAAAAAGAAAACCCAAAAAACAAAGGGAGCTTCATTATTCAAGCACTTGCATCAGCATCTGATATAATACAATAAAACTGCAAGAAGGTTTAAGCACAAAAAGCCTGGTTCTGAATGTATTTGGTAAAAGAGTAATTATGAAGACACTAACAGGTCTTTTGTCTTGAAATCCCCTCCCGCAAACAGCTTCAGAGTTTGACTTTTTGTCCAGGTTTGGAACAATTTTTTCCCTCCAAAACTGTGATTTTTTTTTTTTAAAGGGAAGGGTTTTCATCTTCTGGCCAGCTCTAGTGCAGAGAGACTATTTTCTTCATTGGATCTAGTTTTTTCAAAGTTGAGAAACTGATTGGGGAGTTGAAAAAGCAGGAAAGCTTGTTTTTCTCTTCCACACTATGACTAAAAACCAGATGGGAGAGGATCAGTGGTGCAAGTAAGCCGGTACAGTCAGGTACACCATACCATTAAGACATTTATTGCCAGTACGCTGTACCAGAAAGACACATTTTCAGAACCGCAGGGCTCTCCCAGGAACTGCAGGGGTGAAAGGAGCAGAACGTGGGGCTACCACTCCCAGGAGCCAGTGCCCCATGCCGGCAGCTCCTCCAGCGTGGCTGTACTGCCCCCTGCCCCGCTCCCAACCCAACAGTTCTACTCAGCTGCATCTCCTGTCTGGGGTCTGTACAGCCCCACTGGAGGACAGTACAACAGCCCCCAGCCCTGTCTTCTGCCGGGGCTACACAGACTCCAGACAGGAGACAGAGCTGCATGGAAGAGCTGGGGGAGCAGAGGGTGGGGGCGGTACAGCCATGACGGAGGAGCTGCTGGCGTGAGGCGCTGGCTCCTGGGAACGGTGGCCCCACGTTCTGCTCCTTTCGCCCCTGCGGTTCCCGGGAGAGCCCTGCAATTCAGCAGATACTGATTTCTATCCACAGATATCTGCATCCACAGGTATACATTTGTATCTGTGCAGGGCTCTAGTCATGGAACATTTTTTGTGAGGGGGGCCGGGGTCGGGGTGTCAGTACCATACTGGTAAGAGTTAAAATCTATTTGCGCTACTGGAGAGGATGAGATCTACGAATTCTAAAAACTCAAAAGACAAGGGACCAGATTCACATACATGTCAGACATCTAAAGATACAGCTAGGCGCCTAGTGGAATTTTCAGAAGTGCATAAGAAGGTTAGGTGTCTACCCCATTTCAATGGGAGTTAGGCTCTTCTGAAAATCCCACGAGGCACCTACCTTTGAAAATCTGGCACATGGTGACCAGAAACAGATACCATCAATTCACCAGCTACAATAGCTAACACTTCCTTTGTTTAATAAAACAATTAGTTTTAAATACGAAACATGTTTTGATAAACATACTTTTTTCTTATATATCCAGCACATCTAAAATAGTTTTAATTAAAAGAATTAAAATATTTTTGTGCAGTGTAATTCAATCCCAATTTCCATCCAAATGTAGCTTACACAAATCATTAGTAAAAAAAACTTAATACATGAGAAATGCTTCATTCATCATTTTCTAACATAACAAAAAATTAGAATCTGAACAGAATTAAGAATCTGTATGTTAAGATATATAATTACTTAAATGAATGTGTTTAGAGAGCATATCCTGCCTGCTAGCAAAAAACTACCACCAAATTTAGTGTAAAGGCTATATTTAGTTGCAACTCATCATGTCTGAATAGTTATACCAAACAATGAGAATGAACCTTTCTTTAGGGGAAA